CCTGTGACGGTCCGTCACACCTGTGACGGTCCGTCTTGCCACTCCGTTACGAAGTTCAGAGAGTCGATTTTCAGTACCCAATTTCAGATTTTCTAAGTGTTTGGAAACGAGACCCTGCGACGGTCCGTCTTGCCCATGACGGTCCGTCGTTGGGTTCGTCGCCTCAGCCTGTTTTTCCAGAAATAAAATCTGCTGCTCAAAACGACTAAACAGGTCGTTACATAACCATTCCTAAAAGGACTCCACAAAATATACATTCATTATAATACAAATAAGTTTATATCACTCCCCTTGAATGTCGATAGATTATGTGGCTTGTCATAATCTTACTAGATAAAATTCTATGGGAAAAAATTATAGTGAAGAAAAAAGAATATGCATATCTAATAATATGCATTATGGATATACCTTATTAAAAAACTTACAAGAAAAATTCAATGTGATAAAACCTTGCGAGGGAAAAAGAATACATCACGTATTAACTCCCCCTTAATGACAACATCAATCCAGAGACTAGAATATTTGTTTTCCAAGCTTGTGTTTCATCTTCTTGTAAGTTGTAGTTGGTAAAGACTTGGTTAATAAATCAATTATAGTATTATTTGAACAAACATGTTGCATGTTGATATCACCATTCTTTGGAGCTCATGTGTACAGAAAAGCTTTGACAAAACATGTTTCCTTCTATCTCCTTTTATGAATCATACCTTAAGGATCAAAGAATTCTGTAAGTTCCTACTTCAACTTCTTTAAGCAAATAATTTATTGCTTTTTGAAAACTCTTCAAGAGTTTTAATTTAAGTCATCAACTTGCATAACAATACAAAAGATTCTTGATTGCTTTAATCTATGTATGAGGATTATAAAAATGTTCTTCCAAAACTTGTATATGCTTTAGATTTTGAATCCATCGAATATTTTCATATCAATTGTGTCAAATTACAACATTCAATATTAAATGTATGACATCTTTTAGTGTCTAGATTACAAGTTAAATAAGTTTTACCCTTACCAGTATTCTTTAATAGATGTAGAATTTGTATCCTCATATTCTTTTACAATAATACACATTATTATATTAAAGCAATCGTCAACGATATAACATATTACATCGATTCACAATATGACATAACTTATTGAGATCTCATGACTTCATTATATTCGTGTAGTCATCCCTCTCATGAAGTTTCATGAAGAGGTATGTCGTAGGCTCTTAAAGAGCATATTACCTCTTTATTATGATTATGATGAAACTTTGATCCTCTCATGTTTTAAGAATAATTTTGTTTAGAATTAATTGATCTATCATGCTTCATGCATGTCGTAGACTAGAATTTTTATAAGATTTTTGGAGCGAGTCCCAGGGAGAGTCTCGGAGTGGGTAATACAAAAACGCTCCGTGGCGTAAACTAAAGATGTAAATCCATAAGACGTAAGTCCTAAAATTTGAGGTGTAAACCCCAATCATAAAAATGTAAGTCCTAGGCATAAAAATGTACGCCCAAGAGTTTTTAATTCATTTTTGTTAACTTTCTTTGTTTTCTCAAATAGTAATTATAATACTTTTTTTTCTTCAATATTGAATATTAATACTTATCTCAAATAAAAATAAGAAATCATTGAAAGGTTTACTTTTACTTATTTTATTAGTAATAAAATTATAAAATGAAATATAGATTATGCCCCATGTTTCAGGGCTTACACCTCGCCCTATGCTGTATAATGCTTTGCCTCACGCCACGCCTTTTAAAACTATGTCGTAGACTCTATCCTTGAGAGACATTCAATTGGAGCATTTGCAACCCTGGATTGCTTCACATCTCCTCCTTATGTTAGACAAACTAACCTACATTTCAATCTACATTGGAGAATTCATATTTGTGTATTATGATATATTCATTGTCGTTGACCACATATACCGCATATCAAAATTATTAGAAGGAAAAATATTTGGTCCCTGATCAAATCAAATGAAAGAAAAATTAAATATTAATTTATTGGTCTAGTACATAAATTACTTTAGTATGTAATATATTAATTTCATACCACAAACATTTATTTTCATAAGCAATGATTGGTTATTTATCTGAGACATTTAATGTCACATTAGCTTGAATAGTTATCAATATTATCAAGATAGATTGTCTTGATTACATATGTTGAAAGTTGTGCTCTTAATTCAATTATTTCGCACAAACAATTTCGTGAATGTCAAATTGAAAGTTGACAATAAATGTACATGTGATTATCTTGCTGATGCATCCAATACAACAATTCACGTGACAAGTAAATGGACTCATATTCACTTTTTATATTTTTCAAAATTTAGAAATTTAGTTTCAAAATTAGTTGATCCAATCAACTCATCATGAAACTAGCAACCTAAAGAATTCTTTTAAAGAATCTTCTAGTTTTTTAATATATGTATATTACTCTCTATGCACATTTTCGAAGTAGACGAATCATTCATGTCAACTAATAAAATTATTAGTGCTAATAAACTCCAAGTTAACTATAATATGTGTTTTTAGTATTATATAAGCAAATTTCAAATTTAGTACCACAGGAGTAAATTTTAAATTTATTTCTTGTTAATATTCTATCTCTTCGAAAGGTGAGTCGTGATCCTAACATGATAAAGTGCAAAACCATATGAGTAAGCTTTACTTTGCACTGTCTCATTCATTTTTGTATTGAGTTTATTCAATCTCAATCAATAGACATTAATCATTAAATGTTTTGGATGAAAATTTTATAACGTTGACTAGGTGAAATGGACTTAATATTATTTATCAGGAAATTGTGCATGTAATCGTATTATATGTGCCATCAATTTTGTAAACGCCAAGCTGCGAGATAACAATAGATATACATGTGACTATCTAGAATAGGACAATGAAGTATTTAAACAACCCACTAGGTGAGTGAATATGTCCACAAATATCCCCACACATATATTGCAAGGATATTGGGAACTCAATCTTAACTTTCGTTGATGGTGGTCTCACAATTAACTTGAGTTGATTACTGCAACCCTTCACCATTTAAAAGATTCTTTAGGGTCTTTAATGAATGTCTATTTGAATTTTCTATAATTCGTCTTATTATTATAAACTCATGCATGATGTCCCAAACTTAATGCAAAAGTATGAAAATATTGAAATTAGTACACTTCTTATTTACCATAAAATGTGCCTCAAGTGCACTAATTCTTGCTCAATACAAGTCAAAAGATAAAGTACGAGCATTATTCGATGAAACATGTCTCCCTAGAGACATTTTTGTTTATACCACGTCCACTACCAAGTGTCGGGACTTTTTCCACGCCTTGCATAGTGAGCATATACCTTTTTTAACTTAGAGAGAATGAATTTCTACGTATTTTTAACATTCATCAAAAGTTCTCTTTCTTTATGAATGAAACACAATCATCGGAATATATCATCTTATGACAGGTTTAATTAGTACCCTATTGCATATCTATGTGCATCATTCAATCACTTTTCTTCTTTTAGACATATTATGCAATGCCACCACATTCACTTGAAGGAATGGATGTGTATCTGTATCATGCATTGAAAGTTCTCATTCTTTATGAATGGAACATATCACCTAAGCATGTCAACTTATAATAGTTTTAGTACCTCATTTCATGTTTATGTGCATTATTTAATCACTTGTATTCTTTTAGACATATTATGAATTGCTACAACATTTACTTTAGAAAATGGATCTGTAAGTTTGTTTCAGACTACGAGAATTTAAGTTAAGATACAAATATTATACTCCCTCAAGAATACTAGCAAAAAATTCGTTACTTCTATTTCTACAAACCTCATAAAGAATTTTAAACATAGATATAAAATATAAACATACACGTAACTGAATTACATTACGTGCAAGCAAGAATCATTAATTTGTTTCCACTACAACCATCTTAATTACCAAAACAATACATACCTTCAATACTGTCAATCTGACCACAAATAGAATACTGTACTAAAAATCAAAACTTAATTATAAAATTAAAGGCTCGTCTAAATAATATATTATGAAATTAAATAAAATAAACATAAAAATAAAATAGATAAAAGAGAGAAGACTTGTTATTATTTTAAGATTCAAAAATCTGATTTACAACGTGAGAAGAATGAAAAATGCAAGTTAGTCCTCATAATAAACCTTCAATATAATACAAATAAGTTAGTCCTCAGAATAAACCTTCAATATAATACAAAAAATTTAATTATAAGAAAGAAAAAAAAGGGAAAGCCGACCTGGGGCTGATTTGATGAAGTGAATGCGACCAAAAAAGCAGCTCTTTGGTCCCCTCTCCTTCTCTTCTCTTCCACATTCCTTGTGAAGAGTTGCGCCTACAAATATGGCAAACCCTCCTAAGATTTCTTCCACCTTCTTCTTCCTCTCATCATCCTCTTCCTCTTCCTCTTCCTCTTCCACCTTCAAACTTGCTGACTTTTCTAACTTTATTCTTTGACATTTATAATACAGATCTCTATCTTCTTCATTCAATACATACACAATACAATACCAAATACAAGATTAATAATATTCTTTCTGCCTAACCTTAAATCTTTGTTTATCAGGTAACTTTTTTATGGGGTTTCCAGTTATAATTGATTTTTTCTTTTTATTTTCCTTCCTTTTTTTTTTTGGAATCTTTACAGCTCGTTAGCTTATTTAGAGGGAGACATTTGTAGCTTTACGTGTGTATCACTCTTTACGTGGGCATATTTTTGATGTATTTATTGTATTTTTTTTGCTCAAGGCAGCATGATCTCTGTTTTTCTCTAGTTTTATTTTGGTTTCTTAGTTATCCATTGGGATCTAAGAATTATATGCATTTCTGTTTCATCCCTTATTTGGTTACTCCATGATCTACTTCTGTTAGTAATTAGGTGAAATCATTTGATCTGTCTTTTTTTTTAATCACGGTGTTTCAGGGAATGCTTAATTTTTTCATGTGGATTTTTAGTCTGATTTGTGATTTTTTGTTGGTCAGGTTGAATCTTTTATACAAGGAATACTTACTTACATCTATGGTGAGTCCATTAGTCTTGATCTACACTTCAGTTTAAAGTATAAATATAGTTTATATTGTGATGATCTTTCCTGTGTTCAGGGAGAAGCACCAGCTTTCTTTGCTGATAGTCTCTTGGGAGATTTTCCAAATGGGATCGATTTGAAATCTAAAGGCCACAAAACAGCTATTTCTATCGGCTCTAAAATTGTATGATGATTCAACATACTGATTTGATATTCTACTGTGATGTGTATTCTTTCCAATTTTATATACCCAAATGACTGTATTCAATGAATGAATGTTCTGCGTCCCTATTTTCACCAGTATGTGATTGGCGGGGCTGATCATGAGTCGACAGCGGTAATTGGAGTTCAAATATTTGAGAAATCTAGTGGGGAATGGTGAGTTTATGTATATCTAAAACTTTTGGATTCATTGTGGTTATTATGTAGCTTTTAGACAAGATGAACAAAAACTGAATTAAATTGCAGGATAAACCCCACTGTGCTGGGTACTAAACCCAAGGTCTCAAATGGCCACTCAGCTGTGCTTTTAAATGGTGATCGTATATTGGTTATTAAGGGCAATTCCAAGTCTGATGAATGCTTTTGGTTTCTTGAGGTCTGTTAATTTATGGCCTTTAGATAATTAAACGTTCTTATTATGTCTGTTAAACTTGGACGTCAGGATCTCATGCTGAATCTGTGTTGATTGCTCAGATCAGCATTCCTCCTAATGTTTAATTGGAGATGCCGGTGGGTGGATCACTGGAGTTCCCTGTTTGTACTTATCCATCCTAATTAGGAAAAAAGTAAAAAATGTGATTATCGAGAGACAATTAACAGTTTGAATATCATTCGGTACCCTTGAATGAGTTTAATTTGCTGGCACTCACTTTTTCCAAGTTATGCTAAAAATTGTTACATACATTTTGTAGGTGGGCACCTCATTTATAAGAGAACAGGAAAAGACATATGGAACTGAGGTGGTTGCCTGGAGTAAGGGAGTTTTAGGTAATGTGGAGAAGCCTATTGTCATTAGTGGCCCTTCTGGAGTGGGGAAGGGTACCTTGATATCTGAACTAATGAAAGAGTTCCCATCTATGTTTGGATTTTCTGTGAGCCACACGACCCGGGCCCCAAGAGAAAAAGAGCAGAATGGATTTCATTACCATTTCAGTGACCGCAGTGTAATGGAGAGAGAGATAAAGGATGGGAAATTCCTGGAGTTTGCTTCTGTTCATGGTAATCTTTATGGAACCAGTGTCGAAGCAGTTGAGGTGGTTGCTGATGCTGGCAAGGTATGGTCGCTTCATGCTTTCAATTCTTAATTCAAAACATTTTCTTTGATTCCAATATTTCAAAATATTATTTGGAAGTATACAAAAATGAGATTAAACTTCTCTTGATGTAGTTTCATCATATATCAGAAATTCACCACAAAAGTAGAAGCGTAGACTGTTGTACTCTGAACTCAATCCTTTAGACTCGGTGGGAAAGGCATTTGAAAACATTTTTTTATCATAAAAGAGGAAAAAGAAATTGTTTTTCTCTTTGGTGGATGCAATGAGAATATATGCAAGTTTCAATTTCGTTACATTCTTTGGGAGAATGGCTCGCCATCTCTTTGTTATGTTCTGATGAAAAATAGTTTCTGTCACATTGTAAAAAAATGAACTTTGCACCTAAGTCGTCCCAAAACTAGCTCATTAAGTGAAAACTGAAAGACCATATAAAGAGACTACCTAAGTTGCTTGGACTCAGGTGCGGGTGTCTGATACCTGTGTAGGTCTAGAGGTCGAATCCTTCGTGATCTAATTTTTAAGATTCAGGGATATGGCTCCATGTATGTATACGTGCTCGGGGATTCACCTTAAAATATCTAAAAATAGAGTTATAAAACCTAAATTATGAGATATTATGTGGAGAACCTGAAGAGATACTTTTTAGTTAGACCACAACAGTCTGTCCTCTGCACTATGATTCTAGAACCTTCACTACAGATTCCCCATTACATGTTCAGGACAAGTTAAGTTCCTCAACCTTGCATAGAGGTAAGTCTATCTTTCTTGTCCAAGGTTTGAAACACTAGTGAGTTTTATTACTCTCTAAAATCTAGCTTCGCTCAACTCGATAAAGAAATTTGTTGCTGGTTTGGTAGAACCCGAAGTTTCTTTTTGTGTCTTCTACCCCCAGCCGGCCTTCTAAATTCCCCGCTTCTCACCCCAATCAAAAGATAAAATAAGTATAACTTGCAAAAAATGAAGATCTGGATGTAGTAGTAATAAGTGTGAACTGACTAGTGGGTCTTACATTGACTTGTTAATGGCATCACTCATGGGCCAAGTTGTGCATTAGCATATTGATAGATCCTTCTATTACAAATTTGTCAAGCCTTCTATTTTTGTGTGATTGTGCAGCGATGCATCCTTGATATTGATGTTCAAGGTGCAAGGTCTGTGAGAGCTAGCTCTCTTGAAGCTATTTTCATTTTTATATCTCCACCATCATTTGAAGAACTTGAGAAGCGCCTTCGTGCAAGGTAGGCTAGTTGAGAATGTTAAGTATTTTCATATTGCTCAGTTCAATCGGTTATTAAATTGTTGTCAATCTGTTGAACAGAGCAACTGAGACTGAAGAGCAAATCCAAAAGCGTCTCCGAAATGCTAGGGCGGAACTCGAACAAGGAAACTCATCCGGTCTCTTTGATCATATTTTGGTGAACGATGACCTAGAAAGTTGTTATGAGAATCTTAAGGTGAGGTTTGCTCCTCTCATTGTGTAATATTTTTTACAGTTGTAAGGTTCTAGTTAACATATTTCTTGTTTATCTAAATGTCCAATGATCAAGTAATGCATTTAGTTATGCTACTTCTTGTAACTTCCTATTTATGTAGAACATCTTGGGTCTCACTGAAGGTGTGAAGACTGCTCATAAAACATGTAAGCTATGACGGCGTAGCTTGTCCCACAGTTCTTACCTTGATTCTTCTATCAGACAAATGTATGCTAGAATGATTTGATGAACTTGTCCTTAATGCAGATTCAGAATTAGTCGACTTGCCTGTTGAACATTTAGTCTCGAAGATTGATCAGAAGATTTTAATTAACTGTGGTGCTGGAGAATATGAAAAGGCATCCGATAGCATGTATGTGATTTGCCTAATCCATTTCTTTTTATGTATTAGAATTCTGGCAGCTGATATCAACCTTTGATGCAGGTATGTTCTGGACTTGTCTTTGGTTAAAGGAGGGGCCCCAGGACGGACACGAGGACTAAATCTATTTGTGACCAATCCTTCGACTGATAGAGTAAATGACGAAAATCAGCTGAGCTAACCTACCACCTTCTGGTTTCAATAATTGTTTTTCACTTCTTACATCTCTATACGGGTAGAGAACCACAATTTGACTACGTCATATCTTACATGGATAGTTTAGTCCCTGATGCAGCTATTAAATGAGAAATGATTTCTAATTATTAAAAAATTGTAGGTTAGCAGCCTGAACTATTGAAAGCCTAAGATATGTAACTCTTCTACTCGAGGATTGAGCATGTTGGATGTAATTCTTTCAGCTTTTTCTATAGCTTGCTTATTCATATCTCTTTTTTTTCTTACACTGGTTGCTTCTGTTTATTTCATTGTTTCCCGTGGGGAGGTATTTTTGCTTGCTCTAAGTGAAACATTTAAAACGTGACATGTAAAAATGAATGAAGTAAGGAATATTATTATTGGTGGTATGGCTCACATGGTCATGATTCATGAACGTCGGGTATGGCGGGAAAAAAGTGAGTAAAGGAAGAATTGACAAGTAGAAGTTGTTTGACCATACCCTTGTACCCATTTGACAAGTTATATGATTGGGCACATGGTAATGGTCCACTTGAAGTAGAGCCAAAAGGTTTGTGATTAGGTCAAGTCAAAAATACAATGCAAGTGGGTCACGGAGGCCGCGTTAAAAGTTTGCCTATGTTGCTTCCTCTTTCGCCATCCCTAAATAAATAAACCAGAGTGTCACGCCACAATATAAAGGACAACAAACACAGCCTTTCAATAAGATCTCTAAATTTCTATAAACACATTTAATAATGTTATCCTAGTCTAGTCTAGATAGAATAGACTGTACAAAAAAATTTGGCTCTAAAAATAATAAAATCTTGGCCAAGGTTTGAGAAGTTGATCTAATGATATTAAAATTATGTTACACTGAATTTGATAAGTTGGATATAATGATATTGCAAATAGTATATATTGCCTTGTTGCGGTGCTTGAAATTTGTAGAGAACACCAAAAAGTAAATTTGGTCTTCTTGGAATAAGACAACAATATATTTTCCATAATCGAGAGCTTGATCTGTTGAGAGAATCAAGAATATTCAATAATAAGAAAACAAGAATAGTGAAAAAGGAATTTAAAAACGTAAATAAAGAAATAATAATATCTATTTATGCTAATCGTTAAGATATAAATGAGACAACAAAGTAGATAATTATACAAGATATATTACAATCACCTAAGAACTATTTCATTTTTCAATTATTACAACAATTTCCACATTAGCTAAGGTAAATTTTTTTTTATATTTCTATCTAAGTTATTACTTCACGAGTTGTTTGGTGTGACGTATAAGCTATAATAATATTAGGATAGAATGCCAAATTATTTATCTCACATTTAATTGAAAGTATTAGACAATCGTGAAATTATTTATCCCACCATCTATAACTTAATAATGAGATAAGTTTTATATATATATAAAAAATAATAATAATAAAAATAACTATTTTAGAATAACTTATTCTGAAATAATTATTTCCTAACAAACTTATTCTGAACTTATTAAAAGCCGTGCTGCAATTTTTCAAATGTATTGAGCCCACAAGCGGAAGAAAGAAGAAACTAAATCTTTTTGCATAAATCATGTCAGTGTGTGTGGTGGAGTAGGACCCTTAAACATGAGAGGTACGTACATAATATGCCAAGTTGACAAGTTGGCTGCCATTTTTTATTAGCCAAAAAGATCATTTTAGGGACTCTCAAAATCTTGAGTTTGATAGAGCAATTTGTGCTAGTCTACACGTAATTTACAGAAAAAATTTATCCACACTGAATATTTATATTAAATTAATATAAAATATATTATTACGTAATTTAATAAAATAAAATAAACTATTTACCCTCAATTTACCCTCATCATGGAATCAAATATAAACTTTTATTCAAGGGGAGAAACCGTATAGGGATGGGACTTGGGAGGGTTAATCTATTAACAGAGTCATGTAGAATTTATTTAGGTTTCAAAATGAATGAATTGTGTTTTTTAAATTGCTATTCAATTAAATATATATTTTGAAACTTATTTATTTTATCGTATGCTTAAGTTCATATTTAGTTCAATATTCATAGTCTTTCAAATATATCATCAAAATTACTATTACGATTATTATTATCATTATTTTATGAGCAAATTACATAAATCCTACTAATTTAGGTTTTAATTATTAAGATTTTGAATAGTTTCAAATATTACTTCATGTACCATATTTTCTGCTCAGGATATATACACGAGTTTGAATCCATGTATATGTATTTGCCAAATTTTAAAATTAATAGACATATTTTATTTTTTAAAATTGATTGGTTGTGACAAGTTTCCTTAATTAGATGACTATTGAGGATTTTCAAAATACATGGACATTTAATTCTGAAAATTTAAATTAATTAAATCCATTAATATGAGGGAAAACAAAGATTATATCTATGTTTAATTCATTTCATTTTAGTATATTTTTAATAAAAGAAAAAACTTGTATATCTTGGTCATTCAATTTGATTAGTTTCATTTTATAACTCTTAAAATATTAAGTTCATTAATTCAATTATATGTTATCAATAGATAATGTATCCAACAAACTAAACACTTAGATACATGCAGGGCGGAGCTACCTTTATACAAGGGGGTTCACTCAAACCCCCTTCCGACGGAAAATTATCTTATTTATATATGGTTAAAATAAGTTTATATGTATATATAGTAGATGTCGAACCCCCTTTGACTATCTATTTCTACAGATTTTGAACCCCCTTATTGATAATCCTGGCTCCACCTCTGAATACATGAGTATCATTTAAATTTATTCATATGTATAATAGATATGACCAGTATTAATTTTATGTATATATTTGTATGATCTAATATTACACCAAGTATCTTTTATATGTATAATTTGATGTATCAAGTATCAATTTCATATGTTATATTCAAAAACATGTATCTTAAATAAATACAAAAATAGTTAGATACATTATAATAACATATATACGAAAATATTACTGATAGAAGACCACTTACATATGACAAGACTCAGACTTATAACTAAACAAATTATGTCTAATATAATCATTAGATACATACACATTGATAAAAAATAGATACATATAAATTGTATCTCAATAATGTATCAGATAGACCAATAATGTGTCAAATACATGTGTAACTTTTCGCTTATCGAAACTTAATGATTACGTTTGTGACTGGTCAGGGCATCTTACTGCGATGATGTTTGCTTCACCTTTTTATTCATCGATGTTGGTCACTATGCCTATATCCGATAGGAGAAGTGACACGTTGCTCACTATGCCTAGATCCGACAGGAGAAGTGACACAAAGTTTCTTGGTTGATCTATAGTATACAAATTACAAGGTATGCAACTAATATCATTGTCAATGTTGAATTTGATAAATGATCTAGTGGACTTGAAATCTCTGCTTACAACAATGCCCATTGTCTCTGCCTGCGAGAGTTGTCTCCCCTTGCAAGAAAACAATGGTGGATTCATGAAAAATTGATTTGAGTGTGAGAAAATCAAAGGCTAAGAATTTTGATGGGTTTGATAAGCTATAGAATATCCATTTTAATGAAGTATGTTTTTTTAGTAAATTTTGACTGATCAAGGGAAGAGGAAGAGTTAGAGTATGGATTTTATCCTAACTCTTACTCTCTGAGAGAAAGATATTTTTTAAATTAAAACACCAATTCTCGAGTTTAAAAATAAAGATAATTAATCAATTCTAGTTTTAAGAGATATGCGTATTGATTTTATCTATAATAATATATTGTATAAAATATTAAAAGTGATAATATATATATATATATATATATATATATATATATATATATATATATATATATATATATATATATATATATATATATATATATATATATATATATA